CCGTTGATGAGTCCACCGATAACAAAGACACCCCACTCATCCCACACGAAACAGGATCCTGCTACGGGATACGAGTAGTTCAAATTGATCCGTTTCAGCCGACGTTGCACGGGGTGGAGGAGGAACCACCGTGGGCTTGGATCAGGATACATGTGTATAAATACGTACATATATAGCTCGACGCAACCCCTCCTCCGAGACCTCAAATCGCTGATTATATGCGCCGCTGCTACATTCCGGTGCCTCTTGGAGGCCATCGCAAAGGCCACCAGGTCCAATCTCGACAACCGAGTCAGGCACTCCAAATGAAACACATCATCTGGCAACGACCATAGCCCACACACCTCCCTCGCCTTCTTCCTCGTCTTCAATTTTAATCCACGAGTCGCACATCTTCCCTTCATTGATTGATTACCTCCGATCAATTACCCTTCTCGTGCTGGGGCTTTCTGTTAGAGATAGGATCCACACACAACCTAGTAGTAATTAGAACGCCGCAATGAATACACTTCCCTCCTCAATTATCTATTTATATACAATTGTCTTGTCGGTCTATAGTTCAATTAAAAAATCCAACTACAAAACCTAAATTAACTATTCCTGTTTAGAATATATATAAGTTATAATTTTTAGACTAGATAAATTCGAGATCTTTTTCTTAATATTGTGTTTTTATCAAAACAAACAATCGAGTCTTTCATCAATTTTAAGGTAATTATCTTTAAGGTAATTTAATATTTTTAATAAAATTTTGTTTGAATATTTATTTTGTATTTTATCTTAAACTAGAAGATTTTTTTTGTCAATATATTTTATAAATTTTAACATAATATATATATATATATAATTAATTCATTAAGACAAACACGACTATATGATTTCTAATAGCCCTTAAAATCCACATGCATAATACTGAAGTACTAGATCAGCATACGTGTTATATTTTGTTTTACACATAATTTTATATATTTATATTTTAAAACAAAGTTTTCCATATGTTATGTTAAATATATGTTATTTTTAAAAAAATTATGAAACTAAATACAAATATTCAATTCTTGACCCATCACTTCATCAAAACTTTGATGAATATATTTTTGATTTTAATTTAATATAAATTAATATATATATATATAATATATATTATTCAAATTTGAATTTTTGACCCTTTACAAGTATAAAATAAACAATTCATTTTCGTTTTTAAAAATTAAAATCATAGCCTAAAACTCAAAAGTGGCGAGAGAAAAAAAGTAAAAAAAAGGAAACTTGAGGGTGACTCCAAGGACGATTAGGTTTTCTTTGTTTTTTGGTCACGTATGCAGCCGCGGCTTCTCAAAGCCGCCCTGCGGTGGCCCCGGCGTCGGATGATAGGGCTGGCGTAGTAGGAGGTTCGCAGTCGCTTGGTTCAGTCGTCGGAGATATGGTTAACAATTCAACAAGTCCGGTGGAAGAGATTCAAGGTCTGTCATCGTCAAGTCAGCCGACGGTGGCTCCAAAAATGAAAAGATCCTGGGTCCATGTTGCTCAGAACCGTGTATTCACACGGCAGAAGTTTGAGGTTGTCGAAGTAGATGGAAAAGAAAAAGTGGTGGTTCCAAAAGAGGTTTTCATAGATGCAAAGCCACTTTGGGAAGAATTTGTTATCGGTAAATTTTTAAACACAAAGACGCCTCACGTAGGCAAGATTCACATGTAGTGAACAAGATATGGCGATTGGGAGACAAATCCACTCTCATCGATGTCTATGCGGTCAATGACAACACCTTCAAGTTTCGTATTCGCAATGAGGGCATGCGACATCGAATTTTGACGACACTTTGAGTTTTTGACGTACTTTGTTCTATTTGCCTTGCTTTTTAAGTTTCAGGTAAGAGCTTCAAGTCTTCAACGCCTTTTTTTTTTATTTATTTTCCTACAACTCTTAGCTTTTTTTCAGTTTTGGTTTATAGATATATCATTCGTTTGTTAATTGTTATAACACAGATCCTTCAACTTTTGGTCTGATATGATATATTTGCGTTTTATGTGTCTCACAATCACAGAAGAAGAAAAGAAGATGACGATGGTTGCAAAGTACAACGAGAAAAAACAACATAAGGTTTGGTTTAGGTTTCATCCTAGGGACCACGAACTCATCCACTATTATCTCCGTCCTAAGATTGGGTTTAGGTTTCATCCTAGGGACCATGTACTCATCCGCTATTATCTCGAGCCTAAGGTTGCCAAAATACCAAAAAAAAAGTTTGAGTTAGAAGACAAGACGGATATTTATGCAAAAGAGCCGTGGCAGTTGACTCATACAGAGACAGACTTGTTCGTACCTAACGAGTGGTGGGAAACTACGCACGAGCCGCAAGTCAAAGGAGAGACGTGCGAGGGATGTTGGAAAACCCTTGGGAAGCTGAGAGATGTCGTATCAAAAGATACACGTGAGGTGATTGGGAAGAAGAGGAGTCTCAGTTTCTACGTCAAAGGTGAGAGCAAGTAGCAAGTCCAATGGTTGGACCATGACGGAATACTATATACTTGACGGTGGCTCATTCATAAATCAAGTTCTCTGCCACCTTCAAGGACTATGATTGTATATGTGTTTAGGTTAATTTCAGTGAAAAAGGATGGTGACTTCTACACATTTACTTCAATTCTTTTGTAGTCTTATTTATTTATGAACAAATTTTTATTCAAGGAAAGTATCATATGCTTTCTTGTTTATTTCAAGTCATATAGATCACTGAAGTTTATATGAGGAGTTTTCATAAACATTTTGTGTTGGTTTGAGGAAAAGATATTTTCTCATATAAAATGTATTAACATGAACCATGATCGTGTCTATTGAATTAAAAGATGCATTCACTTTCAAAACTTTTAGAACAACTCTTTCAATAGGAAAGAGAGAAAAAATAAAGAAATCCTTGATTTACAAGGAACAAGTCTACCTCTAACTAGGAAGATACAAATGTTGAATAGTTATCATCATTGGAACCGAGAGGTCACAGTGATGAAGGTATCTTCAGGACAAGGAATCGTTAAACCGGCCATTGGATGATCGAACCCAAACTCTTCCTCGGATTTACTAAGAAGAGCTTGGAATGTAGGCTGGCTCAAGTATGAGATTGGCACCACAAATCTCTTCTTCTGGCTCTCTCCTACGTACACCGCAAGAAACAATTTTGGTGCCGCGAGGCTGCTGCGGTGGAGCGGCTTAGAATCTTCTTTGCTCCCAATAGACTTCTCACAAAAGCCATTTCTGTTATTTTTGTATGAGAAGCTTTAAATTCTTTCGAAGCTTCTGAAGTTGTATGAAAAGATTTCAAGTTATTGGATTTGGATAGCTTGTTGTTAATTGATGATAGAAAGAATGGTTCTTGTGGGTATATATAGAAAGATCAATGAATTAGTTGAAATCTCTCTGAAAATTCATTGAAACTTGTCGTTTACAATTGTGGGACAGACTAGAACAGAGTTTCACATGGTTCTGTCTTAAGTCTTTACCATCTCCATCTGGAAAAGATGCATTAATGTAATTTGTCTACTCTGATAATCTCCATATATATGCAATTCACAAGGGCTTGTTTTCTCAATGTTTCTGAGGACTGAGATAAGATGTGCCCTATGTTTTAAAGAAAAATGAGAGCAATTAGTTAGGTGGTTGGTTATTTGTCCTATAGTTCTCTAATCTCTGTGGTCGAAATGGATTTAATAAGAAGTTAGAAGTTTGGACCTGATGTTGTTCAACAACACAAAAACAAGTCTATGTCACTGGTTATCTCATTTCTTCACTTTCATTTATGAATGTCATTTATGAAGTTACAGTACTCAAATGTGAAATGCCATTTTTTGCGTGTGAGAAACAATGGTGTTAATGCGAATTGCAGAAAGTTTTCTAAAAGCTTCATCATGCTGTTGTATTTCATTATATATAATGTATATATCTCGAGGATTTGCTTATATCTTCACTAAAGTTTCTCTTCTTCTGTTATCTTCACTAAAAGTTTCTCTTCTTTTGTTAATTTAACTCAATCTTAATCTTAAGATTGTGATTTCAGTTATCTCACTACACAAAACTCCAAAGCTAGCTTGAGATTGTTATATAAAAATACCTTTGGACAAAATGATTTTGAACAGAACCCAGAAATCTCAAGTTCAATAGTATACAAGATCTGAACAACCATCACAAACCTTTCAAGCACATGCAAGAAGATCCTTGTAGTACCACCAAGGCGGCCAATAATCTTCTTTGCATACATTAGGAATTTCCATCTAAGATAATTCTTAATTCTGAAGATTATTATACTTTGCACTGCTTAGTTTAATTTACTATCATCTCCTCTTTGTTTGATGAATTATTTCAACGGATAAATTGGTTATCATAAGCCATGGATCTGTATTATAAATACCCCTCACTTGGTTTTATTTCACAACAGTTATAGTCTAATAATAAAAGAGTTCTTCAATTGGTAGTCCATTTTTTTCTATAATTGATCCAAATTGTAATAACATGAAATGTAATTATGTATATTGCATCAAAACTGCATCCACTTCAAAAGAATTTTAAACAACTCTTTCAAGAAGAAAGAGAAAAAGAAAAACTTAATCCTCTATTTACAAGGAACAACTCTATCTCTAACTCAAGAACACTATGTTGGATCATCATCACTGGAACTGAGAAGTCACATTGATGAAGGTATCTTCGGGACAAGGGATCGTTAAGCCACCCATCGGATGATCGAACCCAAACTCTTCTTCAGATTTACTGAGCAGAGCTTGAAACGAAGGCTGGTTCAAGTATGAGACCGGCACTACATATCTCTTCTTCAAACTTTCTCCTACGTACACCGCAAGAAACCCTTTTGGTGCCGCCGAAGCTGCTCCGGTGGAGCGGCTTAGAATCTTCTTTGCTCCCAATATGCTTCTCAACAAAGCCATTTCTATTTCCTTTGTCTGAAAGTTTGAATTTCTGAAAGTTTGAATATCTTTCTAAAACTTATGAAGATGGATGATAAGATTTCAAGTTATTGGATTTGCTTGTTGTTGGTTGATGATAAAAAAAATTGGGTTATGTATGTATATATAGAAAGATCAACAAAGGACTTGAAACCTCTCTGAAAAAATCCTAGAAACTTGTGGTCTTGAAGCGTTAGACAGACTAGAACAGAGAACATGGCTCTGTCTCTCCCATTGGAAAAGATGCATTGATGAAATTTGTCTTGATGAGATAAGACGTGTTGTTCTGTTGTTGAGCAACATCAGGTTCCCACTATAATTTCTTATTAAATCCACCCATCTAGACCACAGAGATTAGAGTAATTGGATAATCATATGCATCACAGAACATGGAGAAGAGAAACTTGCTGGTTGTTATTGACAATTGCATGCATGTTCTATCTATAAAAAGAAACATTGAGCAAACAAGCCCTTGTGCATTGCATATGGAGTTTGTTTCTAGCTTATTGTCCCACACCTCAGTTAATTATCTCATCAAGACAAATTGCATTAACGCATCTTTTCCAAATAGTAAAGACAGAACCATGTGAGCTCTTGCTCTATATATACACACATAACCCATTTTTTTTCGTCATCAACCAAACAACAAGCTATCATACAACTTGAATTCATCTCTTCAGATTTAGCTTCAGAAAGATTTCAAATTTTCATACAAAGAATTAATTTCATAAATGGCTTTTGTGAGAAGTCTATTGGGAGCAAAGAAGATTCTAGGCCGCTCCACCGCAGTAGCCTCGGCGGCACCAAAAGGATTTCTTGCGGTGTACGTAGGAGAGAGTCAGAAGAAGAGATATTTGGTGCCAGTCTCATACTTGAACCAGCCTGCTTTTCAAGCTCTCCTCAGCAAATCCGAAGAAGAGTTTGGGTTCGATCATCCGATGGGTGGCTTAACGATCACTTGTCCTGAGGATACCTTCATTAATGTGACATCTCGGCTCCAATGATGAATTGATAATGATCCAACATTTTGTTCTTCAGAGTTAGAAAATAGACTTATTCATTGTATATATTGATTTTTTTTTTTACTCTTTCTTCTTGAAAGAGTTGTTTATAAGAGTTCAGAGATTGGATTCCAATTTTTATGAAGCAGACACAATCATTTCAATACATTTTGAAACAGACTTTAAACACTAAAGACCACAACATTTGAAGAACCTTTTAAGTATTCTTAAGAAAATCATGGTTAGACAAGATATAACGTACCGTATTTATCCTCCGTCTCCATTATTAGATAAGTATAACAATAATCTTGCAATTTCAAAGGAAAAAATGTGAAATTGTTGTACTTTATCTTAATCTAAAGGGAAATCTAAATCTAATAACACGGTTTCTTAGTTTACTAATAAGTCGACTTAATTTAATGACACGTGCCAGTAACATGTTTACTTAAAACAAAAACTCGTATTCCTAAGAGCATCTCCAATGAAGGTGTTTAATGAATGCTTAATGGGTTGTTTATTCTTATATATAATGAATATAATCAAAAACAATCTAAAAATCTTAAGCATTGTTGCTTAAATTGAGGTTTTAAGCAAATCATAAGCACTTTAAAACTACAAGTTGTCACAATTTTTTATAAAAATATTAGTAAACACTCATCATGGGTGCTTACCATTGAAGGTGGTCTAAGGTCATCATTATTTGGGGGATCTTACACCCCTTTTCCTTAAAGAAAAGATCTTGCAATAGCCCTTGAAATCCCACATATGCACTATTGTGTATATAAATACGACGAAATTAAACCACTTTGTTCTATTTGTCTAGCTTCAAGTTTCACGTAAGGGCTTCAAGTCTTTAACGCGTTTTTGTTTATTCTTCCTACATCTCTTATCTCTCAAACCCATTTAAGTTTTTTCAGCTTTTTCTCCTAAGATCATTCGTTTGTTTATTGTTATAACATATATATCCTTAAAGTTTTGGTCTGATATATTTGCGTCTTCTCTGTCTCACAGAAGAAGAGAAAAGAAGATGTCGATGGTTGAAAAATACAACGAGAAAGAGGTTGGATTTAGGTTTCATCCTAGGGACCAAGAACTCATCCGTTATTATCTCGAGCCTAAGGTTGCCAAAAAACAAAATAAATATGTTGAGTTAGAAGACAAGACTGATATTTATGCCAAAGAGCCGTGGCGGTTGACTCACACAAAGTCGGACTTGTTCGAACCTAACGAGTGGTACTACTTCGTGACACATGATCAGGTATCTGAAAACGTCACTGGGAAACTACGCAACAGCCGCAAAGTCAAAGGAGAGACGTGCGAGGGATGTTGGAAAGCCCCTAAGAAGCTGAGAGATGTCGTATCAAAAGATACACGTGAGGTGATTGGGAAGAAGAGGAGTCTCAGTTTCTATGTCAAAGGTGAGAGCAAGTCCAGTGGTTGGACCATGACGGAATACTATCTCCTTGATGGTGGCTCATTCCAAAATCAAGTTCTCTGCCACCTTAAAGGACCATGATTATATTTGTATTTTGGTTAATTTTAGTGAAGAGGGTGATAATGAGTAGTACAGAACTTCTATTTTACTTTGCTTCAGTTCTATGTTTAGGTAGAAAATTCCTTTGTAGTGTTTTTTTATTATACAAATAAATTTTATATTTTTAAGGAGAATATCATATGTTTTCTTTCTTGTTACTATAAAGACATGTAGATAGATAGATCACTGAAGTTCTTATGTAACATGGGTCTCTCTCATCTAATATATTAGTATGAGATATTAATAATTGATATAATGAAATATATATATATATATATGAATAAAGCTTGTATCCAGAGAGGAAACTGACAGATGCTTTGTACGTCATAAAATTTGTTAAAGAGAGGCAGAGCTAACAGTAGAAGAGAGAAACAGAGCAAAAAAACTGTTCAATTTATCTAAATATCATTTATTTCCTTGTTAGATGAAATAGTACTTCAAAGGATAAGGAATTGGTCCAGTGGATAAGATTATTCACAGTCTCAGTTGGTAATCGAATCCAAAATGTATTAACATGAATCGTGTCTATTGAATAAAAATGGCATTCATTCTCTAAACTTTTAGAACAACTCTTTCAAGAAGAAAGAGCAAAAATGCTCAGCTTTTTACAATAAATAAGCCTATTTCTAAACTATGAAGAACAAAATGTTGGATCATCATCATTGGAGCCGAGAAGTCACATTGATGAATGTATCTTCAGGACACGGAATCGTTAAGCCACCCATCGGATGATCGAATCCAAACTCTTCCTCTGATTTACTGAGAAGAGCTTGGAATGAAGGCTGGTTCAAGTATGAGACTGGAACCAAATATCTCTTCTTTTGGCTCTCTCCTACGTACACTGCAAGAAACCCTTTTGGTGCCGCCGAGGCTGCTGCGGTGGAGCGGCCTAGAATCTTCTTTGCTCCCAATAGACTTCTCACAAAAGCCATTTCTGTTTTTTTGTATGCAAGGTTTTGAATTTGAATTCTTTTGAAGCTTATTAAGATGGATGAAAAAACTTTTAGTTATTTGATATATTGCTTGTTGTTGGTTGATGATAGAAATGATAGGTGAAGTGTGTATATATAGAAAAGATCAATGAAGGAGTTGAACCCTCTCTGAGTAAACCATTCAAACTTGTGGTATTGAAGCGTGTGGGACTGACTAGACACTAGAACAAAGCTCACATGAGTCTGTCTTTACAATTTGGAAAAGATGCATTAATGACAATTTGTCTTGATGAGATAATTAATTGAATTTGTAACAAGAAACTAAAAACAAATTCCATAAGAAATTCACAAGGGACTGTTTTCTCAATGTTTTTTAAGGTAGGACATGCTATTGTCAATAATAAGGCCCATCAAGTTTCTCTTCTCCATGTTCTGTGATCATCCTATTCTCTCATCTCATCTCTGAGGTGTATTTTTAATAAGAGCTTAAAGTAGGGACTTGAAGTAGCCCAACAACTGAACAACAAGTCTTCTTCAAGGTTTAAGTTGTTCTTTTTTTTTATATCCACAAATAGGACCATACATGACATTTATAGGTAAAAAAAGATTGAATTCCTTATTTCTTCACTGCATTTATTATACAGACAGAGACTTGTTGTTCTGTTGTTGAGAAACTTCAGGTCCCCACTTTTAGCTGTTGTGATTACCATTTAGACCACAGAGAGTAGAGAATAGGATGATCACAGAACATGGAGAAGAGAAGCTTTGCTGGTCATTAATATTGACAATAGCAGCATGTCTTATCTGAAAAAAAAAACATTGAGAAAACAGTCCCTTGTGAATTGCATATGGATTTTGTTTCTAGCTTATTGTCCTACACTAATTAATTATCTCATCAAGACAAATTTTATCAATGCATCTTTTTCAAATGGTAGAGACAGAACCATGTTCTCTATTCTAGTCTGTCCATCCTTCAAGACCACAAGTTTCTAGGATTTTTCAGAGAGGGTTCAACTCCTTCGTTGATCTTTCTATATATACGCACTTAACTCATTCTTTCTTTCCATCATCAACCAACAACAAGCAAATCCAATAACTTGAATCTTCTCATACATCTTCAGAAGCTTCAAAAGAATTCAAACTTTTCAGACACTAAAAGAGAAAAGAAATGGCTTTCGTGAGAAGTCTACTGGGTGCGAAGAAGATTCTAAGCCGCTCAACCGGAGCAGCCTCGGCGGCACCAAAAGGGTTTCTTGCGGTGTACGTAGGAGAGAGCCAGAAGAAGAGATATTTGGTGCCAATCTCATACTTAAACCATCTTACTTTAGAAAATAGACTTATTCATTGTAAATAGCTGAGCATTTTTGCTCTTTCTTCTAATTGAAAGAGTCGTTGTTCCAAAAGTTTAGAGAATGAAAGCCATTTTAATGCAACAGACAAGATTCATATCAATAATTCAATACAATTTTTTTGGATCGATCATTGAAACACAAAGACAGCACCAAAACAATTGAAAGAAATATTATCATTAGAGTTCTCACCCAACATTAGATAAAAATAAGTTGAATTATTATCAATCCGGATCCGTGGCGCAATGGTAGCGCGTCTGACTCCAGATCAGAAGGTTGCGTGTTCGATTCACGTCGGGTTCAAATCCCCGAAACTGTAAATTCCGGAATCACCTTTTTAATTTACGGCCTATTTCCTTTTTGTACCCTTCCGCTTTTGCTGCGTTTCATCCCGGCTCCAGGCTGCTCTCTGGTTCGGTAATCTAATTTTTCTTAACCGAAAGTTTTTGTTTTAAAATCTTAAGTCTAAACCAGTTCACACATAACATGTAGTGTTTTGCATGTTTTATTGTTGATAATGCTACCAACTTAAACTCTAAAAATCATTCTCAATCATGAGAATATTGTTAAAGCTATTCGTAGGTGAATTTGCTAAATAATTTCATAAACAGTTTCCAAAGCTTTCAAATTCAGTCTCATGTGAAAGAGTGGAGTCAAATAATTTCATAGAAACAATTAATGAATGGCATGAATTGCAATATATAATATCTGGAGAAGATAGTAAGAAATGCATGATATTCATCATTATGTGATTTTAAGCTTCTTTGATATCTTCTTAAGTGTTTTCTTGTCATGATTCCTTAATTTGAATCCATCTCAATGTGGATAGTACTGCAGACTATTTGCAAATATATAAGTCCCTTAATTTGTATACACACTCATTTATCACGTTAGCATCTGGATGACATAACCACACGTAAAACACTCTTCTTATAATGTGTCTCATTCTTACATACCAAGATTTAAAAATATTCCAGAGAGGTTTTTAAATTCACTCAGGGATGCCAAAAGGGTTTCTTGCAGCGTACGACACCCTTAAAACAACGATGGAAATTGTTTTCCCCTCTTTTATTATTGATATATTTGCTCTAAGATTAGATGTCAGAAGATGAAGACAAAAATTGATTTGTAAAGTGAGCTTATTTATTATGAAGGGATCATGTTGATACATTTTGGATTATATTATTGAAAATTAATTTAAATATAAATTGCTTTTTATTTTTGATATAGTTCTCTAATAAGATGTGAGAAATTGAAGAAAAAAATGGTTATAAAGTGAGTGTCTTTCTTCTGACACGTTTTAAAAGGACACGTTTCAACTTTTTTTATTATAAGACCAACTTCAATGGTAAATCTTTTAACAAGTATGCTGGTAATATTCTAATGGGCTTGTTAAAAATCTGTACCTCAATAAACTAAAAACAAAAAGTAAAGATGTAATAATGTAAAAATTAGTTCTCTCACTTCCAGTCACCTAAAATGACATTTCTGTCCTTCACTTGGTTTAGCCAAAACAAACAAAAAAGTGTAGGATACGTAAAGTACAAAAAGTACAAAAATTGAAACTAAAAACTTATGTAAAATTTATCCTCCCAATAGTAAAGTTTTTAATAAGTTACTAAACACTAAATTTTCAATAATCAGAAAATTTGTTTCTTTTTATCTTTTTTTTCCTCCATTCAATCATAAGTGAACACATGTATCTAAGAAACAATTTCAAAAATTCTTAGCAAGAATTATTTCTTAGCTTATTACCTGTTTTTGATTTATTTTTTCTCTTTTTAATTCTTTGAAATTTGCTAAAAAAAACTTGCATTGAAGTTGGTCTAAAGTACAAAGGGGTAGTAAAGTTGTAAGAACGAATTAGGGTTTTAAACAATTAGGGTTGATCAAAACAACAAAAAAATTGGGGTTTTAGCTTTAAACAACTAGGCAGAGAGCGACCATGGATGAGCAAAAGGAAAACAGGGGAATGATCCAGAGAGCAACAGATGATAATGATGGAGATGAGGATAGATGTCGACAAGACTCGCTTCCTCTTGATCTAGCCATGGATTTACTCTCAAGACTCCCCGCCAAGTCGATTGCGAGATTTCTCTGCGTGTCAAAACACTGGTCTTCCTTCACCACCGTTCCAAGTTTTACCAAATCGTTTGCGACACGTTGCTCTGCTCAGCCACCGAGTCTTCTGGTCACCTTCTCAAAAAATCTAAAACGATTCGTTTTTTCGTTTCCTCAAGACCAGAATCTTGACGGGTCTTATCCTCCAGTCTACAGTTATCAGATGACAGACACAGACTCTTGGTGCTGGAATCATTCCCAATCCATCCACGGCTTGGTTCTATTACAAGGATCCGTGATTTGGAACCCAACCATGAGACGCTTTTCAACCTTGCCTACCCCCACGACAAATAAGACAGTGTCTTATTTAGGATACGATCCATTGGAGGATAAACACAAAGTACTGTGCCTATCTAAGGACGAGTCCAAACAACCTCGGGTTCTTACATTGGGAGCTCAAGAATCATGGAGGATAATATCCAAAGATTTTCCTTTACACTATCCTTACAGAGATTGTCATGGGCAATGCATTAATGGAATTCTCTATTATGAAGCATGTTTTCGTATTGGTGATGGTGGTGAACGACGTATCATGAGCTTTGATGTTAGAACTGAAAAGTTCGATTCGATAGAACTCCCAGAGTTTTATCTTGGTTCGTATCCTCATATGATACTTTATAAGGGAAGGTTATCCATAGTTGAGATTAGAAGTTTACCTAGTATTGATATTTGGATTTTGAAAGATGGAGATAGTAGCCACAAATATTGGAAGCAGAAACGCTTTAATTTACCTCTCTCTGAGATAGACCCAATAAAGAGCAAAATCCTAACATTCAATGGTGTTAGTGATACTACCGGTGAGCTTATCTTTACACTATGGAGATTTTCTGATTCGTTTTGGGTCCTATATTTCATTATGAGGAGTGAGAGTATTAGAGAAGCGTTCTTTGAAGGAGTTTTTGGTGATGACTTTAGATGCTGTTATGGACTTGATAGCTACGGTATACACAGCATAGATGTTATCCCAAATCATTACGAGAGTCTCGTGTCTTTGTAATTGTAACTCAGCGCCTTCGTCTCTCAATGCCTAGCTCTTCAATGTTGTCCTTGTTTCCCCTTTCAATGACACTTTTTAATTTATATGATTCTCTTATAGTCTTTGATTTTTCTTCTCATCTTTATTTGATTTTTCTTTGATTAATTGGTACATGTGCCTCTACATTGTTGCATTTACATATATATGCTAGCGAAAATCGAAAACAAAAGCCTATATGTGTCTTCCCCATATAAATGTACATAGACAGGCTTGTGTTAGAAGTCGACCAGAAGATTGTCAAACCACTCGGTCGCAACTTCGGCTAGAACAAGAGAAAGGCCAAAAGCGTTTCATGCAGTGTACGTAACTTCAAAACATGGCAAGATGAATTACTAATTTATTATTTTCTTCTTGTCTTTCTTCTTGATACAATATAGCTCTACTCCTTTAATGTATATTATTACATCTTTGCATTTCTAGTGATCCTTGATTTGGTGTGCCTCTGCATACTAATGCATACATATATTTAAAGATGCTAGAGACTATAATAAATCTCTTAGACATAATGACATGTATTTGTGATATGGAGAAGGGAATATAAACATGAAAAACTAAAGGATTGTACGTTAGAGAAAGAGAAGCATGTAGCTAGTAATCTAAATTTGATGATCTTTACTCTGTAAAGCTTTTGCAATGTAACTAACCTTACCCGAAAATCAGTTATAACTATTAGGTAGCAAACTGTCAAGTCTCTCTACACATTTTAATTGAGTTAAGACAAAAAAAAAAAAGTGAATTCACATTTGAGTTTTGTAACCTCTTTTTTGTCACAAATAAAAGAGGGAATAAGCTGGTCTATTTACATTGAATATTTTTATACATCTATCTCTAACTAATTAATGTCAGCTTTTTCTTCTTTTAAACATCATCATTGGAGCAGGGATGTTACGGTGACGAAGGTATCTTCAGGACAAGGAATCGTTAAGCCACCCATCGGATGATCATATCCAAATTCTTCTTCAGATTTACTGAGAAGAGCTTGAAAAGAAGGCTGGTTCAAGTATGAGATTGGCACCACAAATCTCTTCTTCTGGCTCTCTCCTACGTACACCGCAAGAAACCCTTTTGGTGCTGCTGAGGTAGAGCGGCTTAGAATCTTTTTTGCACCCAATAGACTTCTCACGAACGCCATTTTTTTTTTTTGTCAGAAAAGTTTTCTGAGGTATGAAAAGAGATTCAAGTTGTTGGAATGCTTGTTGTTGGTTGATGATAGAAATAATGAGTTAGATGTGTATATATATAGAAAAATCAACGAAGGAGTTGAAACCTTTCTGAAAAATCCTTGAAACCTGTGGTCTTCAAGCGTCAGACAGACTAGAACAGAGAACATGGTTCTGTTTTTTTAGGTATGAAAGATGACAAGTTGACAAGCAACTAGCGCTAGTACACATTATATTCACTTCACAGGTGATTTGTTTTCTCCATTTCTGTATAAAAAAGGAAGTGAAGCAATGAGATAACCAGTGACATATACTTATTGTTGTGTTGTTGAACAACATCAGGTCCCAACTTTTAACTTCTTATTAAATCCATTTCGACCAGAGACTAGAGTGCTATAGGACAAAGAACCAACCACCTAACTTGCTTCTCATTGTTCTTTAAAATATAGGGCACGTCATATCTCAGTCCTCAGCAACATTGAGAAAACAAGCCCTTGTGAATTGCATATGGAGATTATCAAAGTAGACAAATTGCATTAATGCATCTTTTCCAGATAAAGATTGTAAAGACAGAACCATGTGAAACTCTGTTCTAGTCTGTCCCACATTTGTAAACCACAAGTTTCAATGACTTTTCAGGGAGTTTTCAACTCATTTCATTGATCTTTCTATATATACCCACATGAACCTTTCATTCTATCATCAACCAACAACAAGCAATCCAATAACTTGAAATCTTTTCATACATCTTCAGAAGCTTCAAAAAGAATTCAAAGTTTTTCATACAAAAATAACAGAAATGGCTTTTGTGAGAAGTCTATTGGGAGCAAAGAAGATTCTAAGCCGCTCCACCGCAGCGGCACCAAAAGGGTTTCTTGCGGTGTACGTAGGAGAAAGCCAGAAGAAGAGATTTGTGGTGCCAATCTCATACTTGAACCAGCCTTCATTCCAAGCTCTTCTTAGTAAATCCGAGGAAGAGTTTGGGTTCGATCATCCAATGGGCGGTTTAACGATTCCTTGTCCTGAAGATACCTTCATCACTGTGACCTCTCGGCTCCAATGATAATTATTATCCAACATTTGTATCTTCCTAGTTAGATATAGACTTGTTCCTTGTAAATAGAGGATTTTATTTTTCTTTTTTCTCTTTCTTATTGAAAGAGTTGTTCTAAAAGTTTTGAAAGTGAATGCCATTTTTTAATTCAACAACACGATCATGGTTCATGTTAATACATTTTATATGAGACAATGTCTTTTCCTCAAAACAAAAAAAAATGTTTATGAAAACTCCTCTTATAAACTTCAATGTTCCATATGACTTGAAATAAACAAGAAAACATATGATACTCTTCTTACATGAAAATTTGTTCATAAATAAATAAGACGACTACGAAAGAATTGAAGTTAATGTGTAGACTTGATCCTCTGTCACGGAGTAGTACCAGTCGTTAGGTTCGAACAAGTCTGTCTCGGTATGAGTCAACCGCCACGGCTCATTGGCATAGATATCAGTCTTGTCTTCTAACTCTAATCATTTATTTGATGTTTTGGCAATTTTAGCTCGAGATATCAGCGGATGAGTTCTTGGTCCTTAGGATAAAATCCTAAACCCAACCTTAGGACGGAGATAATATATAGTAGATGAGTTCTTGGTACCTAGGATGAAACCTAAACCCAACCTCCTATTGCTTTTTCTCGTTGTACTTTTCAACCATCGTCATCTTCTGCTCTTCTTCTATGAGACACATAAAACGCAAATATATTAGGCCAAAAGTTCAATGATAAATGTTATAGCAATAAACAAACGAATAATCTTTAGAGAAAAACTGAAAAAAAAACTTAAATGGGTTAAAAAGATAAGAGATATAAGAAGAATAAACAAAAGACTTGCAACCCTAACCTGAAACTTGAAGCTATAGACAAATACAACAAAGTGGGTGATGCTCGTCCTGTTTATATACTTTTGTATTGTGCATGAGGATTACAAAGGAATCATATACTCGCGCGTGTAATAAAATCTTTGGTAAAATAAAAGTATAAAACCGAGTAATTAGATTTAGATAAGTAAGAGAGAGCAATAAATAATAGAGAGCAATATCACATTTTTTCCTTATAAAATGCAAGATTATTATTTTACTTATTTAATAATGGAGACCGGATTATCAATACGGTAACTAATAGTCATAGACTTTGTCTTAACCAGTAACCATTGATTAAAAGGTTCTTCAAATGTTGTGATCTTTAGTGTTTAAAGTCCGTTTCAAAATGTATTGAAATGATTGTGTCTGTAAATTGGAATCCAATCTGTAAACTTTTTATAAACAACAACTCTTTCAAGAAGAAAGAGTAAAAACAAAAAACAAAATCTGTATACAATGAACAATTCTATTTTCTAACTCTGAAGAACAAAATGTTGGATCATCATCAATTCATCATTGGAGCCGAGAAGTCACATTGATGAATGTATCTTCAGGACAAGGGATCGTTAAGCCACCCATCGGATGATCGAACCCAAACTCTTCTTCGGATTTACTGAGAAGGGCTTGAAAAGAAGGCTGGTTCAAGTATGAGACTGGCACTAAATATCTCTTCTTCTGGCTCTCTCCTACGTACACTGCAAGAAACCCTTTTGGCGCCGCCGAGGCTGCTGCTGTGGAGCGGCCTAGAATCCTCTTTGCACCCAGTAGACTTCTCACGAAAGCCATTTATGAAATTATTTCTTTGTATGAAAATTTGAATTCTTTTTCAAGCTAAATCTGAATTGCTTGTAAAAGATGTTTCAAATTATATGATATATTGCTTGTTGTTTGGTTGATGGTAACAAGAATGGGTTATGTATGTATATATAGAAAGATTAATAATAGAGTTGAAACTTCCCTGAAAAAATCCTTGAAACTTATGGTGGTTGAAGCGTGGGACAAATTAGAGCAAGAGTTCACATGGTTCTGTCTCTACCATTTGGAAAAGATGCATTAATGCAACTTGTCTTGATGAGATAATTAACTTAGTGTGGGACAATAAACTAGAAACAAACTCCATATATGCAATCCACAAGGGCTTGTTTGCTCAATGTTTTTGTTTTTTAGATAGAACATGCAATTGTCAATAACAACCAACAAGTGTCTATTCTCCATGTTCTGTGATGATTATCCAATTAACTCTAATCTCTGTGGTCTACATGGGTGGATTTAATAAGAAATTATAGTGGGAACCTGATGTTGCTCAACAACAGAACAACACGTCTTCTCTCATCAAGACAAATTTCATCAATGCATCTTTTCCAATGGGAGAGACAGAGCCATGTTCTCTGTTCTAGTCTGTCCAACGCTTCAAGACCACAAGTTTCTAGGATTTTTCAGGGAGGTTTCAAGTCCTTCGTCGATCTTTCTATATATACACACATAACCACATTCTTTCCATCATCAACCAGCAACAAGCAAATCCAATAACTTGAAATCTTTTCATCCATCTTCATAGGTTTTAGAAAGAAATTCAAACTTTCAGACAAAGGAAACAGAAATGGCTTTGTTGAGAAGCATATTGGGAGCAAAGAAGATTCTAAGCAGCTCCCGCGCAGCAGCCTCGGCGGCACCAAAAGGGTTCCTTGCGGTGTACGTGGAGAAAGTTTGAAGAAGAGATATGTCGTGCCGGTCTCATACTTAAACCAGCCTTCATTCCAAGCTCTTCTCAGTAAATCCGAAGAAGAGTTTGGATTCGATCATCCGATGGGCGGTTTAACGATTCCATGTCCTGAAGATACATTCATCAATGTGACTTCTCGGCTCCAATGATAACCGATCCAACATTTTTTTGTTATTCCTAGTTTAGAAAATAGACTTATTCATTGTAAATAGCTGAGCATTTTTGCTCTTTCTTCTAATTGAAAGAGTCGTTGTTCCAAAAGTTTAGAGAGTGAATGCCATTTTAATGCAACAGACAAGATTCATATCAATACAATTTTATTGGATCGATCATTGAAACACAAAGACAACCAATGGAAGAACTATTTTAAATATAAGTTTTGTGATCATATAAAATTAATTGGAGTAATTAGCAATCCGGATCCGTGGCGCAATGGTAGCGCGTCTGACTCCAGATCAGAAGGTTGCGTGTTCGATTCACGTCGGGTTCAATCCCCCGAACTAATTACTTCCGGAATTAATTATTTTTTTTTTCGCATTTTGCTGCGTTTCAACCCGGTTTAGTATTATTATTACCCTTAACCGAGTATTTCATATTCGGTTTGATATTCTTATTCTGCTTTCTTACCCATAAAAAAATATTATTTTGCTCCAAATGTTTCAGTGGCTGGCCCTTACGTATAGTGGTGGCACATGTAAGTGAAGTCGGCAGTGACATTTCGATTACAGTTTTCAAAATATTGTTTTCAAAACATATGTAACTATGTTGAAAGTTATATTAGGGGTATGGTATGTACTGGACAAAAGTCTATAGACTACTAGGACTAGGGAGCTTGTAATATTTTTGGTAATGATGTTTTATAAATTAACCAATAATTTTCTGCGAATGTTTAATAAGCTAATCGTTATGCAACAACAACAAAAATAATAATAATAAATAAATAAAGAAATAAAGAAATATGACGCTATCTTTTTTTTCAGAATTCAGCTACTAAAAATAGGAATTTTGCTCTGCTTTTTACGTGTCTACGAAGTCACTAGCTTACACCTGTTTATGTGTATAATTATTACGAGATTAATAATTTTTTACAAAGCAAACAAAAATTTGTTTGGATGATATGGGCATGTGAATCTATTTCAACTAGCCACATGTAAAATTAATTTTGACGTTAAATGCATAAAAATAGAACACTTTGAATTTTGGGAGCTTTACCTTCTACACTCATGGATGTTTTTAGAAATTAAAGTTATAATAGAGCTCTCCGTTTCCACCATTCTTTCCTCCCATAAGCCATAACCACAGAGAGAGAAAAGAGAAGAAACGTGTGAGTGAGATAGAAAAAGTTGAAAAGAGGATGAAGAGTGAGAGGTTGAATAAAGGAGAGAAACCAGAGATGGTGAGTAACAGAGCTTTTGGTCAGCTCATGGAAGAAGGATACAATCCTGCATTTTTCAAGATTCTTCGAAGAGAAGACTCTTCCTCTGAAATCATGGTAAGTCTCTTTGTTTTCTCTAAAGACCGAATCTTTTGGTTGGTTCTTTAGTATGTCTCTTTGTGTGGTCTCATGAACTTTAGATCTGTTAGTTCTTGCTGAGGGTTTTGCTCTTAAACTAAGTTCACTGTTTTTATTTTCCGGTTTCTTGTTGGGTTTTGTGTGTGAAATGATGGGATTAGACCAAATGGAAGTAACCAGTGAAAAAGCTTGACACTTTTTGATTGTACATCAGTAAACTATATTCACTGTATCAATCACTGGAACTAAAGAATGTGGCTTCATTTTATCATTTCTTGATGTGACCCCCTTTTGATTTCTCTTGATTTTGTTGTTGTCTCTTTGAAGAGAATGATTCCTCATCACCTGATAAGAAGCATTTCAGACAAGTCTTCGTCGTTCAAGATGGTCTTAAAAGTGCCATGGGGAAACTCATGGTCAGTCAAAATCTCCAAGAACCCTGTTTTTTACTACATGGAAGATCGCGGATGGAACCAGTTTGTGAATGACAACGGTCTGGGTGAAAATGAGTATCTTACCTTCACTCATGAGGCAAATATGTGCTTTAACGTAAGCATCTTCGAGGCAAATGGTACGGAGATGCTTAGACCAAGAAAATCTTCACCTGTTGCTTCTAGTTCCGGTAAGTGTTCATCTATGTGATTGCTTTTGGATGTATTTATAAAGAAGGAGAAGAAGACAGTCGTTAATTACTTTTGTGGTTGATTTTGATGAGTACAGGTGGGAACAAGAGAGAAGAGAGGAGGAGCATCTACATAGATGTGAAGAAGGAAGAAGGGACAGAGTCTTGTTCTGAATCGAGGTATCCTGATCTCAAAACAGCTGAGTCTACAAGTGGGAGATCGAAGCAGAAACAGAAGTTTAACTTGAGACAAAAGGAAGCTGAGGAAACCAAAAAATCTAAGAAGAGTAAGAACAGGAAGGTGAATACTGTTTGCAATGACTTTGAAGCCGGCACCTCATCTCTTGTTCCAGAATTCAAGCTCACCATAAAGAAATCACACCTCCTGTTCTTGGTAAGACAAGACCAGTAATTAGCAAATTATTTATACAAATGTGAATTAATATAATACAAATCTGTGATTTAGGGGATCCCGAAGAAGTTTGTGGACATGCATATGCCAAATGAGGCAAAGATGTTTAAGATTCGTCATCCGAGAGGAAAGAAATCATGGGAGGTTTCGTATGTGGTCACTGATGTGCAGTCAAGATTCTCTGCTGGATGGAGTCGTTTGGCCAAAGAATTAGGCTTAGAGGTCGGAGATGTTTGCACATTCAAGCTCATTAAACCAACTGAGATGCATGTCAAAGTTTCCAAAGAATAGAATCCATGATGACTGATGATGATGATGTGTGAGGTGTGTAGTTGGGGAATGAGTGAAGAACTTGTGTTTGGAGCAACATTATGGTCTGTCGTTTAATGTCAAGACTGATTTTAATTGTGTTCTATCTACTTGCTGCTTAGGTGTGATTTTGTATTCATTGATGAATCTGGACTCAGTTTGACTAAACAGATTCATACATTTTATTGAAGATTATTGTTGTAATGTTTACATGAAGAATGCGTATCTATCTCTCTCTGGTCTCTTCTCTTTATTGCATGACAAAGAAAACTAAATATACGAATGATTCCAGCATCTCTTCCTTTGGCACATTGCCTTGATCTTCATCTGCAAGTGCAAAGGTGATCCGTTGGATACAAATAATACAATACTGGAACACATTGCATAAGCCTCTCCGGTCACTGAGACTTTTTAGCCAAGTTCGAGATGTTTATCCATGAATCAAGCGTCTTGATAGCCTTCCCAGACAATTGTACTTCACGTGCCAAGGTTACTCCTTCAGCTAGTGTTTGAACTCGGTTGCTAACGAGAAGAGCTGCAGCTGCGTTTAGGATCTGGAACACGATTTTGAAAAAGGATGAACAAATTGCAGAAGTTCACAAAAAAAAAACAGGAAAGTTTTCAGAGAGAAAGAGAACGTTGAATCTCCAAAACAAAATATACCAATGAATCGGCAATTGCTCCACATTCCCCTGAAAGCACACGTCTTAACACATCCGCGTTATAGTCTGGACCTCCACCTCGCAAATCCTCAAGTGTACAACGAGGAATACCAAACTCCACTGTCAAAAGATATAAGCTCTAATATAAATAACTCTCCCATGTTACCAAGTTGCCTCTGAAATATTCATTCTAGAGAGGGGAAGAAAAAGTAGACAGTTGAATGAGAAATCTTTACATGGATCGAATGAGAATTCTTCGATCTTTTCCGGGGTTACATCATAAACTAACCCTCCTCCTGTTTTTTTTGTTAAGTAATGATTAGTTAGTCATCATAGGATAATAAAAAGCCAACAATTTTGGGAAGAGATAATCTTACCTAACGGACTCATTTCGTCTAGACCGTATGAGTGAACCACCAGTGCTCTTTTCATTCCAAATCGTTGCAGCGCCTTTGCCATCTTAACAACCTATGAAACCACACAAGCAACAGTAATTATATTTTTAATTGTCTCCTTTTTATTGATGAACTATCTAATTTCACCAGTAAGTAAATGTACCAAATTTTTGTGGTATACACCAACGACAGCATAAGACACTCTAGCAGGGTTAAGCATAGGTCCCAATATGTTAAAAACAGTTTTTATTTTAAGCTTTTTCCGGACAGGACCAACAATCTTCATAGCTGGATGATACATAGGTGACATCATAAAACCGATCCCCGATTCTTCAACACATCTTTTAATGCCCTCTGGTCCCAAGTCCAGCTCCACTCCTAGTGTCTCTAGTACATCCGCACTTCCACATGCAGAAGAACTTGAACGGTTCCCTTGCTGCAAAATAAATATCCATAAGTACATGACCAAAAAGCGGATGAGCACATATAGCGTTAAAGCAATTTTCGCATGCTAAATCAATCATTTCTGTTAAAGAATTTCTCACTCGTTATACCTTTGCTACTTTTGCACCACAAGCTGCAGCAAGTATTGAAGATCCAGTTGATATATTGACTGTGTTTGCTCCATCACCACCTGTTCCAACTATGTCTACAGCATCAACTAATCCTTCCACTTTCCTGGCATGCTTCATCATTGCCCTAGCCAACCCCACAACCTACCAAACACCGGATTATATATAGGTAGATGTTAACTAAGTGAAATGCTATAATATAGGATTGTGTATTATATGCCTAGATTGACTTAATTGATTCTTACTTCTTCGTATGTCTCTCCTTTAGCTCTCAGGAGAACTAGAAAGGCACTAATCAGGACCTCGTTTGCCTCGTTCAGCAAAAACTCAAGAGATGATTCAGCCTCAGATTCAGATAGATCAACCCGATCAATCAAAGTTTCAATCAACTGAGAAACAATCATAGAACAGAGCAAACACATTATGAAAACATAGTATAATATCATAATCTAAATCTCTGTTTTCAAAGCGGTTTGAAGCTCAATAAAACTACAATCTTTAAAACCTATAAAGTAATACACTTTATACTCAAGTCATAACACCCATCAAGCCATTAAAAAAATGAAATTTAAAAACACACAAACAGGACCAAACATGTTTAGTCAGCATGAAGCAAATAACTCAATTCAACTCAGAAAACAGATACAGACATTAACTAGTAGAATTAACAAGACCTTGAATTGTTCATAAATCAAGAAGACTCGGACACATTTGACAGATCCTCAAACTGAAATTTGAAAATTGAAATGAAAAAAAAATCACCTGGTTGAAAGATTTAATGGAAGAAGGGCTAGCATTTTCACAAGCAGTTGGCAGAGCTTCAGGTGCACTGAAACCACCAGGATTCTGAGAGCAAGCGAAAGAGCTGCAGCAATTCGAGGGATCAATATCACAATTAGATTCCTAGATTCAAATCAAAATGACCAAAAACAATTCAAAGGATGTGTTTTACTCTATACTAAGCAGACACCTAAACCGGAAAAAAAAAACATCGAGACTTTACCTGCGACTAAAGAAAGATTGGGCATCCCCACGAATTGGGGACACAGCTCTGATCGACGAGAATCGTCGGCGACTCAATGCCGAATATATTCTAGCTCCGGTCAGGTTGGTTCTTCGGCAACTGCTGGTCACATCATCTACGGCGTTGAACGAAGTTAAAATCCCTGAATGCTTAACGCCGGATATTATGGAGGTCGTAGCCGCCACAGCAGTAACCATCTCTCGATTGCTTAACAAAGAAAAATGTAGAGAAAAAATGAAACGAGGAAGAGATATAACTACAGTAGATGATCTTTCCTCTAGTGCCTTTAAACTAAAACCTTAATTAATTTTTTTAAACTGTTGGATTAATAGAAAAGGTTTTCCAGTTAGTATTTTAATAACTTTTATATGTTTTTGCTTCACTTTTTTAATCTTACAAACGACATTTAGATTGTTCGTAAATTTTGACTAAGTCCTCAGTCAAAGCAGCATAGTTATCTTCTCAATTTGAAATAGATATCTTCTAAATTTATAAATGCTGCTTTGACTAAGGACTTTGAAGTTTCCAAATGGTGGTTGGTTGGTAGATGTCAAAGGTTAAGCAGTGGATAGCTTGCCTTTTTTAAGTCACCAACAACGATTCCCGTATGTACTTATTTCCGCACATTTTACCACTGCTGCATAAGAAAAGTAGGTTCACAGTACCTAATTATTTCTTCTTCGTTTCATTAGGCAATAGGCATGGTCAAATACATAAGCATCTATCTATAATCGGAAAAAAATCACATAAATTTCCAATTTAGCGGGCTACCTATTATAACACCCATTGAGGCCCAATATAAGTTTAATCGACCCAAAATATATATACATCATCTTCAAACAAAACAACAATAATATCGGATTTTGGAAGCACTCAGCTGCAATGCTACAGATATCACATGAGCCGATCAGATAACGAAGGTAGTCGCCGGAAGAAGTTTAACACCGGAGATGGTTTCCGATCACGGAAAATAGGATGTCGGAAGTAATAAAACCCTGACGCCATCGCCACCATCTTCGTCGGCACAAGATACAACACCAACGCCACAAGTAAACATAGTCCCACGAATATACCCGTCGCTCGTGGATCCCTCCACGTCACCAAAGCTTGCATCTTCTCCCCTTGCGCAGCCACTTCACCTAGAATCGTCTGCACTCTTACTCCCACCCCTCGCAGCTTATCGTACCTGGATCTAACCATTTCCGGCGGGCGGTTACTCGGGACGACGTCGAACTCCTCGTCGAGCTCTTCTCTATCTGCTGCATCAGCCAATGAGAGTCTTGGATCAAAATGCGGTAGAGCAGCACGTGACCTGAACCTGTAATTCCACGCGCCAATCATGAACAAGTAAAACGCTAATGTCGGAACGATGAGATCGGGAAACCAAATCAGCATCACGACAAGAGCGTGTACTAGGAGAGTCGATGTCGGATTCTTCCAGAAACGCGTGTCATCAACCCAACGCACCACGTCGACCATTCCTGCAACTACATTCACTATCCGGAGCCAGTTCGCTCTGACTTTACGCATACTGAAAGTATGAGAATCGGCGTCAAGCATGTACCGTACGATCTCCGGCCTCAAAGGCGGCTCAGATCGGGATAAATGTACGGCCAAGATCTTCACGGCTATGTTCCTCAACATCTCTTCTTGAAACAAACTCAACGGTTTAATGTGGTGCATCAAAGGCAACAATGGTTGGGTATACACGTGTAAGAAATCCAACGGTGGAGCTGACCTCACGAATCGAACGGCCAATTCTATCTCTCCCAGTTTTTTAACGCCGCCGTTAACTAACATCAGAAGCGGATACGTATTCCTATACGCTTTACCAGTCTCTAGCGTTGATATACGTATACGAACTTTCCCGAACCGTAGATCTTGACGCGTGGCTTCTTTCCCACCGTCGATTTCGAATACTCCCCAGCTATCAAAGACTCCAATGGTCAAAACCGTACACGGATCGTATACCTTCCACGTGTACTGTTCGTTCCATTTCGGATCTAAAGAATCCGATACGGTTCGGGTACGGACCCATTTAGTACCGTATTTCGCCACCGTGTACGCGTCCGTTGATCCTTTCCCGTTCACCGTCTTCATCGGCAACAGATTCTTGCAACCGATTATACCGAGCTCGACGATTCCCACCGCCGGTTTCCATAGCTGCCTCGCTGTAGGTCGGTAATCGCTGCACACGTGCGCCGCCTCGTCCATCACGTGATAACCTCCGTCGAAACAGAGCCTCAGGTGTACTCTAGATCTGTTTCCTCTCTTCTCGTCGTTTGGATCTTCGAAACCGAACCATCTCGAAGCAACCAAACGATCGTCGACGCGTCTCTCGATTGCGGTGAGCGCCACGCGAGCCATTCCTACAGTGACTGGTCCTTTCGACGTTCGATACTCCAATGTGAAAACAAGCTGATCGGAGAAAGGCTCGGCGGCTACGAAGAGTAGATCTTCGTTCCATGACGGAGCTCCGTTACGAGTAACGGCGGATTTGGTTTTTTGCACTTGGAAGCCTAACTGAGCTTTTAACTGAAACGAGGCCTCCTTAAACGCAGTTAACTGAGGCGGTAACAAGTCTTGCGCCTCAATCACGGTGGCGCGTAGATACCACAGCTTTGACGACATGTAGACTTTAGCTCGTGCAGTTACGTTTCCAGCTGTATCAGTCTTCCACGCGTCGGGGAATGATTCGTCTGCTTGAGTTCCTGTCCACGTGGCAAGCATTAGATCACTATGGTAAGCTCCACCTCCTTCGAGACGGTACCATTGCGGCGCTAATGGACTATCCGGCGGGTCTCGAAGCGGAATCTCCGATACGTCAAAGCAAATTCCACCGAGGAATTGGCTAGTTTCGATTCCCGTCGACGAATCCCACACAGAGATTTCCAGAATTGGAGAAGAAGATAAATCCGGCGAGTCACGGAGGAAGGCGAAGGTTTGATCCCATTCGAAGCAAGAGGTTTTTCTGGCGGGTTTTGATTGGATCATTGTGCCGGAGAGTGAGATTTTAGTAACTGGACTCCCTGAGGTTGGTAAAGAACGAGCTTTTACGACGCGGACGAAGACGTAATGCATTTTCTCAACCAAATCAAACGTTGATCGTTCGATGGTAGAGACGTCGGAGATCTCTGATGCGTAGCTTGCAGTTTCCGATACGTTTCTCCGAAGTGGTTGAGGTCCGGTTTTGGTTTCTGGTATGGAACCGGAGATTGATCTCGAAATGGTAACTTCTGGTAACGGTGATCGCGGCGCCGAAGCCCAGCTCATCGAATCATCTGACTCTAGCACAATATCTTCGCCGTTTGGTTGATTCTTCGGTGGTTCTTCCGCTGGTTTCGCCTCCGGTTCCTTCTTATCTGCTTCCGGTGGCTGTTCTGGTTCCGTCGCTGCTGGATCCTCCCCACTAGCCGTAGCATTTTCCTGTAACGCCGGTGAGGTCTCTTCGTTTGTCTTAGGATCCTCGGCTGGCGGATTCTCAGGCGGCGGAGGTTGTGGTGGTTCAGCCGTTTCTTTCACTTCAGTAGGACTGTCATTAGTCTCTGGTTTTGGCTGAGATTCGTCTGGACCTTCCGCCTTCACCTCCTCTGCCTTTTCCTCCACCACAGTCTCAAGAGGAGCTACCGGCGGATTCAGATCAGGAGGCTTTTCATCGGCGTAGTAAACCCTTAGACCAATCTCACCTTGAACAAGATTAAACAAACTCTTCTTCTCCAAAGGAAAGTATATCAAAGCTTCTTCTCCTTTGCCAACAAACTGATCCGACCCGAGTCGGATCCTACCGAGAAAATTGTTTCTTCGGGTAGGTCCAAAGTTCTTATCATGGTACATGTCAAGCTCAAGAGCATCGGTAAAGAGCTGATGAGAAGGTCGCTTTGCGAGGCTAAACTCGAGCGTCTCATTCCAAACAGGGTTTAAGTCACGGACTATGGTTCGTGTTCGTCGTCTTTGGCCGTAATAGTCGACGACAACGTAAGGGCTTGACGTCCCGTGGCCATCCTTTGGTGTAAGGTCCTTTGCATCTACTACTTCTACTACCAGCTTCCGATTTGTTGCCATTTTTCTTGTCTTATTGAAACCGTTGTTTCAATGCATGCATGGGATTGAGCTGAAGTTGCGTGAAGATTTAGGCTTTGTGGAAAGAGAGGGAGAGGAGAGAGTGAGAGACAGAAGAGATTTGATTCGCAGGATTAGTGGCTTATGTTAAGAAAAGAGTGGGAAAGAATCAAAAGCGATGAGTCAAAAAGGTATGGAGAATTTAATTATTTTAGGTGTATCTGTATAGGAATGAGCCTGTGTTTGTGTTTATATATGTATAAAGTAAATATGATGAACTGTAGTGTTATTGACATATTCAAATTCAGTAATTCACTGAAGATACTTTTAACAAGGCAAGAAAAATATGACAGATGTCGAAGATGTTGCATGCATATTCACCAAAACTGTGCAATCGAATCAGTGTGTAAAGGATATGTGAATTTTAATTTTTATTGTATCGAATGTAAAAGAATTTGGTTTCGACCACATATATTTTGAGTTAAGCCATACAAATTTCTTCTGTTTTTTTATATGTCGGATACTTAACTTGATATAGAAGCAACTCCTGTCAATTCACACTTTGTTTTCTATTTCTTTTGTAGGTTTCTCTTTTGCTTTCCCTTTTCTCGATTTGAAAATACATTCATATGTTTCTCTTTCCGGATATAGATTACGTAATTCTTTTACTTTCGGCTTTTGTTTTTCTAAGTTGCTTTTGACTAATTGAAGATTCTTCTTTAATAGCTTTAATACTTAGTCTTGATAAGGAGATAGACGATGGTGGATGACACTCAATGCCACCAAGGAGATGTCAGATTTTAAGCAAATTGCTTTTGTTCTTTCTTCAAAAAGTGTGATTGGTCTCTTTGTCTCTCTTTTTTCTCGAATGTCACCGACCTTAAGCTTAAATAGCTCCTCTCAATCAACCTCATATTCCAATGTAGGACAAAATATATTAACTTTGACTCAATTGTCTATTTAACAGTATAAAAAATACATTAGTATGATAACAGTGGGGAAATAGCGGAATTATAAATTTGTTTAATCGTTTCTGATTTCTCCAACATCGAGTTTGGTCATTCCTATTAAGATTTAAGAATATGGTTTTTGTATACTGTTGATGAGTTTGTCTACTAATAACATCATTCAAAAGTTTTTAGACTTTGGTTGTTCTGGATATTGTTAATGAGTTTGTCTACCATTAATATCACTA